CTGATGGTTCTCGGCTGTTGGCTGGATGGTGGTTTTCCTGTGGCTTTAATGGTGTTCTGAATGCTGTTACTTCTCTTGAAGACTACTTCAATGTTGGCCTACTTCTTAAAGAGTCTCTGGATTTGGTGGCTAACAGTTCCAAAGTAAGGGAGGCTTAAGGACAGCGAAATTTCCGGGTTTTCTTAATGATGCTCTGTATTTTCTGTTGCACTAGATGTTCGAGGGTTGTGGTTGTGCTGGGTGAAATGTGTTTGAGATGATTAAGTTCAGTGGTAAGATGATGAATGGCAGAACAGATATTGTGAGCTCGCTTGCTAGGGTTTAGCAGATTTCTCTTGACTTGATGAGGTGGATGGTTGGAGGCATAATGAAGACACTAATCAATGTGGGTTGGTTTGTGGAAAACAGTGGTCTGGAGCTTGCTCTCTTTCTGTACAAGTACACCAAGGAAGGGTAGACGATTAGATTCTTTTTCCATGGTGAACAGCATATGTGGGTTTTGGGAGTTGAGGTGGTCCAGTAGGGTTCTGGGTCATTGTTAGGATGTAGGATGACAAAGGTGTCATCTCCTTTGTGGAACCAGCAGAGGGGGTTATTGGGGATGTTTCCAGGACTTTTTCTTCTAGGTGGGTCATATAGATTTCAGTGATTAAAGGTGCTAGTGGGGATCCCATGGGGAGGCCGTGGGTTTGATGATAGATGTTACCTCTCCCAGTGAAGTCAGTGGAACTGATACAGAAGTGTATAAGCCGGATAATGATGTCAGTTGTTCGGTGCGTGTCTAGGGATGGATGTTTTTCATCAATGCAGGTTCTGATGATACCAGTGGCCTCATCAAGGGGTACATTGGTGAGCAGGTCAACATCATAGCTGATTAAAGTGCCTGGTTGGAGGGTATCGTTGATCTTCTTGCAGAGTTCAGATGAATCAGCCACAAAGGACTTGGCTTTCTCTTCAAGAGGTGTGAGGAGGCCGGCTGGATACTGGGCAGTATTGTAATGGTCCAGAAATGGACAAAACTGGTTATAGGGCAGTCATCAAGTACCTGCAACTGAAAGGGCTAACTCCAACACAGATACATGCTGACATGGTCTCCACTTAAGGGGATGATGCCCCTTCCTTTTCCACTGTAAAGAAGTGGGCTGCGGAATTCAAGCGTGGCAGAGAGAGCCTTGACGATGACCCGCGTCCAGGTAGGCCTTCAACAGCAATCATTCCGGAAAACATTACCCGGGTGCATGACATGGTGATGGCTGATCGACGATTGACCACTCGACATATTGCCAGTGTTGTGGGCATCTCTCATGAGAGGGTTGAGCACAATATCACCAACGAGTTGGGAATGACAAAAGTTTCCGCAAGGTGGGTGCCAAAGCCTTTGACAGCAGATCAGAAATGTGTCAGATTCCTGATGTCCCGTGACAATTTATGCCGTTTTGAGGCAGATCCCCCGATAATTTTTTGGCCCGATTAGTAACAATGGATGAGACCTGGATTCATCACTTTCAACCAGAAACCAAAATTCAGTCTAAACAATGGAAGCACCCGGAATCACCAGCCCCCCAAAAAGCCAAGTCGGTTCCTTCTGCTGGAAAGGTGATGGCTTCAGTCTTTTGGGATTCCGAGGGTATTCTGCTGATTGACTATCTTGAAAAAGGCCAGACTATCAATGGAAGATATTATGCTGACCTACTGAGACAGTTGCGTGAAGCTATCAAAGCTAAGCGACGGGGAATGCTCACTAAAGGAGTCCTGTTCCACCAAGACAATGCTCCTGTTCACAAATCGGTGGTTGCCATGTCAGCGATCCATGATTGTGGCTTTGAACTCATTGACCATCCCCCTTATTCACCCGATTTGGCCCCGTCAGACTTCCACCTGTTTCCCAAAATGAAAAAGGAACTAGCCGGTCATCATTTTCCCTTGTAATGATGACGTCAATTCCGCTGTTAATGACTTTTTTAGGGTGGCTGAAGAAAATTTCTTCTTGACCGGCATCCAGGCCTTGCAGCATCGCTGGCAAAAGTGTGTAAACCTGGAAGGGGACTATGTGGAGAAATAAATGAAAACCATCGACTTGGTACGGGTCTTTCACAGTTAGGCTTAGAACTTTTCAGCCAGCCCTCGTATTTCGTTTGTGTATCGAACCAATATTATATCTCTTGAATATGAAGAAGTCTTCATATATTAACCAGCATGTATGGTATTCACTTTTCTTTTGGCAGTGAGTATAGTTATTGTCTAATATACTCTCAGATACTTTCTGTCTAAAACCACTGGATTGAGTGTATATATATTGTACATGGAAGCAAAACGGCAGGGGTATCCAAGCAGATGCTATCTCATTGTTTCAGTTGCAAAGGCAGTCATTGGATCCTTGAGGTTTGCACCCCTAGTATTTGAATAGAGGGACCACCTATTTTGTTAGTTTCTATTTTAGGATTTTGACAAGTGACACTGATTCAAGTAAGTCTAAAGACGTGTTTAATGTTTTCAATTCAGCAATTCAAAATATGCAAGCAGCGTTAGAAATTGGCACTAGTCCTGTAGTCCTTACCAAACTGCCCAATGGTAAAGGTATCCTAAGGACTAGTAGAAATTGGCCAATTTTAAGGGTTTTGCTATATGTTATCATTATAAGGACTAGTGGACAAAAACTGTTAGTTTCTAACCCTGGCAAGGATCTGTATTTTTAAATACTGTCAATTCTTTAATTGGCACTAAAAACATCATAGAAAGCACATTTACCATTCAGGCACACAAATGAATATCTTTATGGGTTTACTTCCAGACACCTTTCGATGCATTGGCCTTGGAATACCTAACTGAATATTTCAATGGCACTTTCAATACTTTAAATAGCAAAGCCAGCCTTTGAAAATGATGCTAGTCCAAGACTATTAAACTGTGCTGAGTACAAGCAAAAATCCAATGATGGTAGTCCTCATTCACTGGTAGCATTTGAGGACCATAATTCAAAATCAGTTATCAACGCTACAAAACTGAATGATGCAAACATAAACATATTTGTCTTCTTTAAGCAGGACTAGCTACAAACTCTGAGGCATCCTCTGTACTCATCTAAAAAACAAACAAATTTCTAAGGCTGATAGCTATGTTAGTTTGAAATTTGGCGCAATGTGTTTATCAGGGAAGTCACAGAGTACACAATATATCCCAATAATTATGCAAAATGGCATTTGATAGGAATATTTTGTCAAACTCGGAATAGAGAATTGGCAATTTGAATGAGATGAAAGAGTTCCTATTGCAAATTCCTGAGTAGAGGTGACACATATTCCACTTTGCAAGCAGTGATCAGCATTCACTTCGAACAATATACATCATGGTGTCACAGAAACGCTCTAAATGACATTTCTCCAATATAATGTTTAAAAGTACACAGCAAACACAATTACAAACAAATTATCTTTAAAAGAAATGTAAATTCAAGACAAAATCAATGGCTCTATTAGATAAAAGTCAGATATATCTGATGGATTGTCAGTTTGGCCATGGGTTTTTTTCCAGCAGCAATATTATCTTTACATAATGAAGAATATAATTCACATGCAATAGACAAGCAAATACTGCTGAGGTTGCCATTTGTTTGGTGTCTCAACCAGTCCAAAATGATTTATGACAATGACTATTTGACAGTGAATCATAAACACATGCTCATGATACGGTGGGAATTGTACAGTGGACACTGATATTAATATAGAATTCTTATGATTGTGGACCGCCTCCGTGGTCAGTGGTAGAGCGTCTGCCCGGAGAGTGGAAGGTCCGGGGTTCGATCCCCGACCGCGTCATACCAAAAGACGTTAAAAGATGGTACTTGTTGTTACCCTGTCTGGCGCTCGGCATTAAGGGGCTAAAACAAGGACTGGTCGGCTCGGAGTCAGTATACTGTGTCTGAGTGGGGTATTCATGTTAAACTGCGGCATGGTATCTCAGTGAGCTAGCACTATAAATCGGCATGAGTCCGGACTAGTACAAGCAGCCACACACACACACGTGCATGCACGTCGCTATATAAGTGCAACAATCTTGGACGCAACGTTTAACCCCATTTCAACTCACCTCACCTTATGATCGTGAAAAAAAATATTTCACTCTTATTGACACTTACAGATATTTTACAGCCGGTATTCTCCTATCAGTATATTCAAAGGCAGATGTTTTTTGTTTGTTAAACTGTACAACATTGTCGGGGTATGATGATACAATCAAGAAATTTACTGAGGTTGATGACCTGATCATTTTAGTCCACTGATACAGCAAGCACTGGCGCTTACCCTGGAATCCCCTCATGAGAAGAGGTTGGCATCTCATGGAGGTCACATGCACTCATGGAGGCAACATACACTCACAGAAGTCACATACACTCACATCGTATGCCAATTGCATGGACTGATGTTCACATTGTCAATCACTGGATTTTCTGGTCCAGACTCGATTATTTATAGACCATCGCCATAGAGCTGGAATATTGCTGAGTGCTGTGTTAAACATCAAACAAACGAACACAGAGGTCACATACACTCATGGAGGTCACATACACTCATGGAGGTCACATACACTCATGGAGGTCACATACACTCATGGTGGTCACATACACTCATGGAGGTCACATACACTCATGGAGGTCACATACACTCAAGGAGGTCACATACACTCATGGAGGTCACATACACTCATGGAGGTCAACAGTGGTGATTCTCAGGCAATGACTCTTGGCATCTTGAAAAACAAATGCAGGTTGGTGGCCTCATTTTCTTAACTTAACGTGAGAACCAAGATTTATGTATGTTTGCCTTATATACTGTTTGATTCTAATCATGTTAATAGATCCCTGTTTCATCTTAATATGTACAGAAACTTCCAAGATGAAAGAAACCACACAACAACAAAAATATTACTCATCATAGTGTTTAATCTCACCATTTACCACTTGAATGGACCATGTCAGTTTCACAGTTACAATTCTAACCTACCTTCCAGGAGTGATGGGAACATGACAGGTTCCGTAGCCTCGTACAACATCCGTACCAAACACGTCTAAACCATATGCATGAATAACAAATTGTGGCCCTGAAATTGAAAAAAAAATACGCAATGTTAAATTTTCTTTAAAGAAACATACCAACATATAACTTTCTATATCATAATGAACATCCAACTGCATCAGATTACCTTTAGTTATAAGTGAGGCGACTATGCTTGTCGTAAAAGGCGACTCATGGGATCGGGTGGTCAGGCTCGCTGACTTGGTTGATGCATGTCATCGATCCCAATTGCGTGGATCGATGCTCATGATACCAATCACTGGATTGTCTGGTCCAGACTCGATTATTTACAGACTGCCGTCCTATAGCTGGAATATTGCTGAGTGCGGTGTTAAACAACAAACCAACAACCAACAACAAGTTATAAGTGCTTTCAGAGCAAACCACTATCACCAGTCCTGCAATTTGTATGAGTCATTATTCCAATAAATTCCAATTCAGAAATCAAGCTTATGCCCATCATTGTCTACTGAACTCATACCAACATGTGTCTTCAAAAATGGGTATTTGGGATCAAAATTAATGCAAAAGTAAGAATCGATGTTAACTACTGATATTTCAACTTGTCATTGATGCACTGCCATGGGACGAGATACAATTGTGATACATCGATAGTTTGATCAATCGTCCCACAATTGTACTGAACACTTCAAACACATAATACAATGTGCCAGCTCAATTGGAACAACATTAGATTTAAATGCAAAAAAATAATGCAACAAATTACATGAATAATACAAAGAAAAGAAGTCACAAAGCTCCACATGGAGCCTTTTAGTTGTTCCTCACACGTTATCATTCACATTGGGTTTTCTTTGGGTATTCAGTATTCAGACTCCCATGGGTCCAGTCTATTGGATGTGTAAATGGATGAGTAAATTTGTTTTCCATAATTCTACTTCCATTCATCTTAACTGACTATAGAAGTCCAGTTTCAACCCTTGCTGAACTAGGCTGCAATTATGGTGTTTTGGCTGGGATAACGAGTCTATGCATAGTCCAATCAAATTCTGTAACAAAACATCCGGTTTTAAACTGTTATGCAAATTTCGATTGATTGCAGGATTTCCAAAGCAGTTGTACCGAAAACTTAGCGTCAACCGATATTTTCCAAATCTCTTAATGTTTTTTAATCAAGGTGCTTACGTGATTAAGGCACTTCACAAAGTAAGACCAGTTTTATTACAATATAGACCTTGGTTATTGATCAGATCTTCCTCACTGGGCGACGACATTTTATTTGAAGCAAATGCAAGTGATATGAGAGGTGGAATCTGATTTGTCTATAGGAGAGATAGCAGGGACATAACTTGTAATAGCCACTGGTGGCGCTACAATCGAGCCCAGAAATTGCAGCCTAGGTCAGCAAGTCTGGAAACTGGACTTTTACAGTCAGTTACCTCCCTTGCCTCAGGATGATGACTTCCATGCTGTTTCAGGTAACTTCTAATTAGCAGATGTTCGTGTGCTGCCCCAAGTGAGTGAAATGATATGGTGTAGAGCTGAGTATTGCTTGGTATCTTGCAATATGATTTGTATCACAATACGGACTGACGATACTACAGGTATCCTAATACACCACCTCAAATAGCAAGACATGAGGAAATCACAGAAATACAGCTCTAAAACCTCTTTCTTCATACTTTTATTTATTGTTATCTCAAAAAGATTAACAATGAAAACCACCAGAAAAACAAGAGTTTTAAATGAAGGGATGGTTATTAAATTTAACAGTCACTCAGTCACCATGTCCTCGTGTTCTGCCACGCCTACAGGTGGCGCTATGTTACTTCAGTATTATGGGAGGTAACTCTTAGTAGTTCCTGTTGTACTCGCTGTAGTGGAGTTAACACAGATATGTGTATGCAAGCTCAAAAAGTAACACTGAGTATATATTCATACAAATTTTTACGAAAGCAACTCCACATTAACTGCGTTATGGTGATTTACATAATTTGCAGCTTATCTGGGGCTCTAAAGTACAATGAAAATCGAGGTTAGCCCTTATCAATAACAGGGAATGATGAATTGGAAAATAATCTCTATGGTAGTATATATAGTATATCTATATTCAGTGGGAGTGTATTTTCTATCAAGATGATTTTTTTCTAAAAAAAATTGAAAACAGACAACAATACTTAAACAGTGTTTAATCATTGACATAAGGTGTGTTTCTTTTCAGCTATTGCAAAATTACAGTACTCATACAAGTTATATTACCTATAGCAGGACTGGTAGCATTTACACACATTCTCATGAACTATAAATTCATTGATGTTTTATTATTTTAATAAGGATAGGAATTATCTCATTAGCAAGTAACTTTTGTCCAATCGTATTGTGTTTTGTCAACAAAAAAGTTAGCTGACATTACAAGCTCACTATGTATTACTTTATGTTCAAGTACACATAAAACATGTATGGGCATAAACATAAAAAAATAAAGATTCTCTTCACCAAGTTGTGGTCAATTTGTCATAATCTCTTTGAACAGCAGTTCCATACAACCGTGCCAAATGCAACAGAATAAAGATATAAGAAATTATTTGATGGTGGGTTTATGTGTCTCTCGTTGGGCTGTATACCATCTGCCGGGGACGAAGGGTATGAAACCTAACAATGGATGCATAAAACCCTGATGTACCCCTCTTGATACTGTTACAACAAATTCATCTCACCGACAAGTTTTAGTATGACATTGTACAGGAAAACAGCTGTTCTAGTGAGCTGACATTAACTCAAGAATGTGTTTTTTCTGCTTCGAAACGGGGTATAAGGGATTTATTCTCCCACTCAGAAATTTATTTCTCTCCCAGGCGGGACACATAGTATTTTATCATGATTATGTGAACCAATCACATCTCATCGTTCTGACATGGAGGTATGATACAATATAACACAAATAGCTGAGTGAGTGAGTATAGTTTTACGCTGCTTTTAGTATTTTTACAGCAATATCACAGCAGGTGACACCAGAAATGGGTTTCAGACATTGTACCCATATCTGGAATCGAACTCGGGTCTTCGTCATGATGTACAAATAATTAAAGATGACTATACACGTCACCCATTGTTCATGACAAAACAGACAGCTTCAACATGTTCTTCTAAAGTCTATATACTGACTGACCTGATGTCTCCACATTGATCAGGAAACCCACATTATCCTACATTTTTTAGAGAAAAAAGACTTTGGCTAATATTCATAAACCTACTTAGATCTCAGAATGGAGGATATATGTCTCTTGTGAAATAATGTTGTCTCTTTCCTATGCCTCAGAGGCTCCGAATTTATTCACTCAAGACAATTTCTAATAATATATAACTCCTTATAGCTTGTAGGTTATCTCTAAACAGCAATCAGGGATCACTTTTAACCAATAAATGTAATGACTGAATATCCATGTTTCATTTTTGACATTTTATCAGAAATATTTGACATGTAATGTGTAGATACTTTCAAAAAATCACTGTGACTGAGAGACAAAACAAGCAAAAGGGTTTGTATAAAGTATTCAAAATGTGTGAAGACTCTAAAAGAAATAGGTTTTTTGTTTATTTTTATTTCTTATTTAACGCCACACTCAGCAATATTCCAGCCTGTAAATATTCATTCTGGACCAGACAATCCGGTGCTTGATATTGTGAACAACAATCCTATCATGGTACGATGACATGCCATCAGTTAAGTCACCGAGCCTGACCACCTGATTCATTTGGTTGCATTATGACCAGCAGAGGTTGCTGGGGAACATTTGTAACCTGCAATGCCCATAGGGGGTTGAGGAACTAAACATGATAAATTACTTTACTGTGAACAATGGTGAACATTGATAATGATTATGAATCATCATATTATTATTTGATGTGTGAAAGATTCATGATGGGTATGTATGCTGCCATATGTGATTCTTGTTTAATGCTGCTCAAAACAATATTACAACTTTTTTGCCTGTAAATAATCAAGTCTGGAAAGGACAATCCAGTGATTGATATGGTGAGCAATGATCCACGCAATCAGGGTACAATGATACACTATCAACCAAGTCACCGAGTCTGACCATTAGATCCACCAACTCGGTCGCTTATCACTGGCATAATTTGCAGGGGACCAATTCCAACCTGGAATCCGCTCGAAGCATTAGTGTATGCAATGATTCATATATAAAGATATGTAATGGAACAAGCCTCTAGTTTTGAATCATCTTTCATTTTCACTGAGCATGACACAAGCGCTGCAATCTCATTAAAATCAGATCTTAGTTCTCGCTTTCGCTAAACAAAGATCTGAGGACATCCCATTACGGGTCACGTCAGAACGACCTTTCGCGAATTTGGACCGCCCAATGAAATGACAGACAAGAAATCGACATTAGCCAATCAGAAGGCAGCTTTCTTGAGCTTTACGACACTAGTTTCAAACTGGTGACTACGCTTCGAAACATATATTGACGTATTCTCGATTAAAAAAATTAAAACTGATAAGAAGAAAATTCTGGAATGGCTCATAAATGGCCTAGATTGTATAGACATAATCATAAAACCCGTAGCTGTCCTTCGGAATACCCCGTGTTAAATATTTTGTGGTTGATTAGAAAACACATTCCGACTGTCACTTTCATGATCTGGTAAGCGACGCTCTGATTGGTTAGATGAAAGGTCGTTCTGATGTGACCCTTAATGGGATGTCCTCAGACCTTTGTTTAGCGATAGCGAGAACTAAGATCTGATTTTAATGAGATTGCATAGGTTGCTGGGGAACATTTGTAACCTGCAATGCCCATCGGGGGGTTGAGGAGTGAGTGAGTGAGTATGGTTTTACGCCGCTTTTAGCAAAATTCCAGCAACATCACGGCGGGGGACACCAGAAATGGGCTTCACACATTGTACCCATGTCGGGAATCGAACCCGGGTCTTCGGCGTGACGAGCGAACGCTTTAACCACTAGGCTACCCGACCGCCCCGGGGGGTTGAGGAACTAAACATGATAAATTACTTTACTGTGAACAATGGTGAACATTGATCATGATTATGATTCATCATATTATTATTTGATGTGTGAAAGATTCATGATGGGTATGTATGCTGCCATATGTGATTCTTGTTTAATGCTGCTCAAAACAATATTACAACTTTTTTGCCTGTAAATAATCAAGTCTGGAAAGGACAATCCAGTGATTGATATGGTGAGCAACGATCCACGCAATCAGGGTACAATGATACACTATCAACCAAGTCACCGAGTCTGACCATTAGATCCACTACCTCGGTCGCTTATCACTGGCATAATTTGCTGGGGACCAATTCCAACCTGGAATCCGCTCGAAGCATTAGTATATGCAATGATTCATATGTAAAGATATGTAATGGAACAAGCCTTTAGTTTTGAATCATGGCATCATCCTTCATTTTCACTGAGCATGACACAAGCGATGCAATCTCATTAAAATCAGATCTTAGTTCTCGCTACCGCTAAACAAAGATCTAAGGACAACCCATTACGGGTCACGTCTGACCGACCTTGTGCGAACTTTGACCGACCAATGCAATGACCAATCAGAAGGCAGTTTTCTCGTGCTTTACGGCACTAATTTCAAATTGGCGACTACGCTTCGAAACATATTTTGACAAATTCTCGTTTACAAATTTGAAACCTGAACAAAAGAACATTCTGGAATGGCTAATAGATGGTCTAGATTGTATAGATTCAGTCGTTAAACCCGTAACTATTGTTCGGAATACCCCGTGTTAAAATTTTCGAGGTTGCATGATTAGAAATCACATTCCGACTGTCACTTTCATAATCTGGTAAGCAACGCTCTGATTGGTCGGATGAAAGGTCGTTCTGACGTAACCCCTAATGGGATGTCCTCAGATCTTTGTTTAGCGATAGCGAGAACTAAGGTCTGATTTTAATGAGATTGCAAGCGATGGTGTTTGCAATTGAAGGTAGATAACTCTCGTGAATGATACTGGTTGAAGTAGCCTTAAAATCTTCATAAGCCAAAGGTACAAATAAAAGAAAATTTCTGACAGCAGGGACATACCTGGCTCTCACCAGAGGAGGGGGCCCCCAGGAATTATTCTTAGGGATCAAAGGCATTCAGAAACGGGTCCAAGGCTGGCTGGATTCCATCTACTGATGTCAAATCACTCCAATGTTTTATTATAGAGGGGATTTTTCTAAGCAGGATAAGAAATTCAACCACTGATCCAGAAAAGAAATGTCACTTGTCGTACTTATATGTTACCACGGTAATATGCCATTTACAAATTTTCATTAGTTGCAACGAACAGCCATACATTTTTCCATCTCCAAAGATCCACAATATAAATTATTTGCATCCATTCTAAATTCGCCTGCGTATACATTTACGTCAGTAATCCCTGTAATGTCTAGAGCTTCAAACAAGGAGTCAAACATGCAACATACATCCATATGGGTTGGTGCTTTTGAACGTGACGTCAAGGGGGAAATTCCACACAAATATCTGCTTCTCATCTCGACTCTTCTTTGTAATCTGTGTGATACCCTCCTCCATGCCCTGAAATATACATTATCAACAATCAAACCATAGTTATTATCATGATTATATAACAAATCATAACATTATCTTGTGGTCTTTTCAGTTCAACAAAGGATCCAGGAAAGGTTTAGCTTAAGTTGAATACTTATTCGCAAAATGTTTCTGATTTGGGTACTAATATATTTGAAATAAGTACTCCAGTATCCTATCCACATCAACATTCATAACAATAATGATTACTAATTCATTTTCCAGTCATATTTCCCTGACATTCATCTATAACTTGTATATGATTCCAGTCAAATTCAAGTAAAATGACCATTAGGAATTACCAGAAACAGTCTGAGGTATATCCCACATCAAACAATGGTTACATGTGGGGGTGGCAATATACAAAGCCACAGCCAAGGTGTATACTACTGTTATTTAGAAGAAGGGAGGGGGTGGGGTGAGTCAAGAGGGGGTGTGGAGGTGATGGCAATATACAAAGCCACAGCCACAGTGAATACAATGATCCCTCGATTGGTTAAATTAATCAAAGTACAGTGTATTATTTTACGACTGGATGTTATACATGTAGAATCTAAATAAGTGTTGTTATATTCTAAGTTTTTCGGAAGTAAATTGGTTCGATCGCCGACCTACTCACATTATCGATCGATGACAGTACATTACAAAGCCGAACAAGCCTTGTAACGTAACAAACGTGCGACCAAGGCTGTGATTGGTTAATAAATAATGATGTGTCAAAGTTAGGAAAAACCTTGACACAGCCGGCTCCCTGTATGCACTTTATGTACAATGTACATGGACATAACATGTGTAACTACACGGTTATTTGAGTATTTTAGGTCTCTCACGGTTACTCAAGTTCGGATTAAATACCGGAAGCCATTGTTTCTATTGTTGTTATTGCATTACACGCGGCCGGTTTGAAGTTCGAAGACATCTCACATGTTGTCTTACCAATCACAACAAGCTGAGATGAGTATTTAATCAAACAATGCAGCTTATGTTTGTTGTTGCTGTGATTTGATTTTATATGAGTATAATGCCAGATCTGCGTACGATATGTTTTTTCACAACCGGAACAAAAGGCAGAATGGTTTTCGATCACATTCAGCCGGATACAATGAACGTAATTGTTTTACAAATACACACAAGTGTACTTCAACTTGGAATTAAATCTCACCAGTTTATTTGTAACTTTATTTGCTTTAATGAGCTTTTATGCATTTTTGGGAGCCGAGGTTTCCCCCGCGGTGCATCCGGACGAGCGATACATCGAGGAGCGTTAAGTCAAGGGATCACTGTATTACTGTTATTTAGAAGAAGGGAGGGGGTGGAGTGATTCAAGAGGGGGTGTGGAGGTGGGGGTGGCAATATACAAAGCCACAGACACAGTGTATATTACTGTTATTTAGAAGAAGGGAAGGAGTGGTGTGATTCAAGAGGGTGTGTGGAGGTGATGGCAATATACAAAGCCACAGTCACAGTGAATACTGTTATTTGGAAGGAGTGAGTGAGTATGGTTTATCTCGTGTTTATCCTGCCTTCCCACATTACATCTAAATGGTATGTTGTTTCACATTTCTTCAGCAATAGGCTGATTTCAGTCTCAGCTGAACACAATGAATGTCAATGACCAGATTATTTATTGGAAACAGACTCTCTTGCAAACCATTTTGTAAAGTAGGTTTTGGGACTGTCAATGATGTTAGGTACTTAAGATTGGTCCAGACTAATTGTATATTTCAATTGTAGTTACGATGATTTAAGCCTAAATCCCTTTGTGCAAGTGGATGGCGATTTTACTCAAAACCTAAGATTGCAATGTTATGGATTAACAATAACACAACAATACAATAATTTGTGTATATGGGCCCGTAAGAAGGTAGAATGGAGAGAATCCCTTAATTTGTGAATGCCCAGTGTGGTGACAGTAGTCATCTTGATGGGAATGGCTTATTTCTTTATCATCATTGAGATGAATGCAAATAAATTTGAACCATTCAGCCAATCAGATAGAAGGAATTTCAATGAAGTTTTTGAGCTTATAAATATTTCATTATTTAACATAAGAACAAAGAAACTGATGATAGTTTTGATAGCACACTTTGATCATGTTGATGACTTAAAGGAATTGACACATGCATTAAAAACAAGGTGATCATGAAAAAAGTCAAGATTCAGGAACATATAGTACCTCATTTGCCTCTTTTCCTAAAACATTTGTTCAGTCTGTAGAACATTTGTCAGTTAGGTCTACCAGAGACCATTCTATTATATGGTCTCTGGGTCTACATATTAACAAAGTGCAGAAGCATGGATATGCATTAAAGCAAGATACCAACTATTTACTGTAGTCTATGCTTAGAAAGTTAGATACATTTAATATGTGTCGTGTGTGATGGTGATCAATGGTGATGTAAGTTACTGGGACACATACCGTAGTAATCAGCCAATCTGGGCCATGTGTGTAACAGTATCTGCAGTAGATGTCATCAAACTCGGGAAACTGTGGAAAAAAACACATTGCATAATGGTTAAAAACACTCAGTGAATGATGATGGAGAAACATCTTTGTCAACAAATATCAACAGTAAACAAAACCTGCCTCTGTCCTGTCCAACCACATTTTATTGATCACATGAAAATGGTGAAGTAGATTACGAAAATCAAGTTGTTGTTGTTAATTTAATTACCATCGACAACAATCCTACGTTCTACATTTTATATTTCTCTCGTTGTCACAAATAATTTCTGAATCGAAGTGCTTATAAGTTCCACAAAACTTCAAAGCAAGCTGTGGCTTGTTTACACATAACAACGGCACACAATCAGTGTAATTTTACATCGAATTCCGCTGTGCTTGCTGTCATTTGAAGCTATATGTTTATTGTACCTTTCCCGAATATTTTTATATAATCACAAGACATATTTACCTCTGCTGTTTCAATCTGGCCACTGGCCATCACCATAAATACCGAAGATGCCGCCATGATGTCAAAGCTCCCCCTGTGTAACTAAGGTAGATAACTCCTTCAACAGGTGCCCGTTAGTGAAATTAATATCCCGTAACGTGGTCCCCGTGTTTAGTTAAATACTTCAAAGTTAAAAACTATGTCGTTAAAATGTTGTAAAAAGCACTATGCTGTTTTTAACCTGAGTTGTTGCAATGCCTCAGACAGCATTCTACATCTGTAAAATCACTATTGACAGGCATATATCTGGAGATATAAGTAAGATGTAAGGCTGTATGTTTATTTTATGTCAAACTGTTTACGTGTGGAATAACTACAACGTTAACTGATGTTAATCTTTTCTGTAACTCATGAAACTGCCTGTACATAGATGTAGTTACTTGTTCTGATCTGAGATGAAATGTATATCATTTCATGCTAATTGTAACCTTAGAAATAGAAATTAAAGGACATAAAGAGTATATATCCGTCTGTCTGTCTGTCTGTCTGTTCTAGAATGCATTAAGTAATGAACTCGTTGTCATTCATTACAATAACCACAGGGGGCAAATGAGAGGTGTTTATATAGCACGTTGCACGTGAAACGGTAGCGGTTAATAACCGGCATCTGTTGCAAAACAATAAAAATATTACATAATTACCTCCGTTGTGTGGCACTACTAAACTCGGATTGTCTATCATCCGGTCCGACACTGATATACAATGAATGAATGAATTGTTTATTTGAGTGTCACGCATAAAATACAGATCAATAGTCATATAGATAAAATACATCATATTTTTTAAGCAAGGCCTGGGCAGGCCGAGGAGACACTATTACTAGTATATACAATACAATGATTCTATATTCAAAATTTTAAAATATATATACATGTATACACACACACATATATATATATATATATATATATATATATACACACACACACACACACACACACACACACACACATATATATATATATATATATATATATATATATATATATATATACATACTCCAGATAGATGTGCATTTGAGTGTGTTACGTTGTAATGTTTGCGCAGCTTCGTTCGCACGTTCACCCACATCCAACAGCTTACCGTATGCGTGTAATGCGGAAAGGCAATGGAATGGGCGTACGGGGAGATTGTTTACAGAAACAAACTGAATACTGACTGTTTATAAGACATGCGTCATTTACTGTCAGTTGGGCAGTGAGATAGCCAAGTGGTTAAAGCGATTAAAGCAGAGAAAGAGAGACGCCCGTGAAAGTCCGGGTTAAAGTTGATCGTCAACATCTCCTGCTTGTGGTAAGCTCGAGGCGACTAACGGGATCGGGTGGTCAGGCTTGGTCGATTACAGTCCGCCGTCATAGAGTTGTTTGGTTGGTTTGTTGTTTAACGCCGCACTCAGCAATATTCCAGTTATATGACGGCGGTCTGTAAATAATCGAGTCTGGAACCAGACAATCCAGTGATTGATATCATGAGCATCGATCCACGCAATTGGGATAAGATGACATGCATCAACCAAGCCAGCGAGCCTGACCACCCGATCCCGTTAGTTGCCTCTTACGACAAGCATAGTCGCCTTTTACGGCAAGCATGGGTTGCTGAAGACCTATTCTACCCTGGATCTTCACGGGTCTCATATAGTTGGAATATTGTTGAATGGTGCCTTAAACAACAAACAAACAAAGCTAATGTGTGTAGCAAGTTGTAGTGAAATGAATTGAATGAAGCGGTCATAAAATGCTACAACCCGCCACAGAAATAACATTGGCTTCAATTTCATTACAAGAGAGATCTAAATACACACAAAGTTGCATGTATGATATTAGATGTACTTGTGATTTTAAAAGTACAGTCTTAACATGCACAGCAAAATGTGTTATAATAGGTGTCGGGCGTGTTAGACAAACTATTTTTTCAGAGTGCCGAACTGTTGAGAAAATATTTCATAATTACCTCACGTGCCAGACGTGCTATTTCCGCACCGACCCATTGACTCGTCCTCCTTATAGTGAAGGATTTCCGTAAAAGAATCAAACTTCCACCCAACCCACAGATGGTCGTTGTATGAAATGTATTTGATCACTTAAATTTTCAAATATAAACTGAAGAATCCCAATAGCGAGATAAACATTTTCTGACTTTAAATTTGTCTTATTCTTACTTTATGCAGCAGTCCAAATGGTTCACAAAGAAGGGGAAACTAATGCTCTAAATCAATGGTATAGGTTGGCCTTAGTCATTTCTTGTAACCATAGCTGCGGTGGCGTATTTGAGATGAAAAACAAATACCATGATTGTATACGATACTGAAAATATGTCTTATTATAGTTAATAGCGTAATTGCTTTTAATAAGACCATATAGGTTTCTAATACTCTTCTACAAGAACCCATTTGCTACTTCAATCGCATTGCTCAAGTGTTTATGTTGGTTGGTTGGTTTGTTGTTTTACGCCGCACTCAGCAATATCCCAGCTATATGGCGGCGGTCTGTAAATAATCGAGACTGGACCAGACAATCCAGTGATTGATATAATGAGCATCGATCCACGCAATTGGGATCGATCACATGCTTCAACCAAGTCAACGAGCCTGACCACCCGATCCCGTTAGTCGCCTTTCACGACAAGCATAGTCGCCTCCTACGGCAAGAATGGGTTGCTGAAGACCTATTCTACCCCGGATCTTCACGGGTCTCAAGTGTTTATGAATATGACAGAACTCTAAGATTTAAGTTATGGAATTTTTTCGATTTTTCGACATTTAACAACGTTTTCCCAAGAAGCCCCCTAAATCTTGCATCTGCACGGAGTAAACTGCGCTGCTGGCAACCCAAAGGGAAATTGTGGTGTAGTCTTAAGCAATCTTACCGAGATGTACAATGGTAGATATGCATGTGGGAACAATGTATCAAATATGGTACTAAAGTGAATTGAGTCCATCTTTGACTTTGTCCTCCTGCTATTGCCACAATTAGCAATCACTGAAACATGCGAGTTACCACGAATGCCATAATATATACTAACGGAAAAAAAGTAACGGTGAGTCAATAACAATACATTTATCCTGAAATCAAATAATGCACCTTTCAATACATATTCATGAAGATACAGGTTCATAGATGTGTCCAGGTTTCATCTTGACAGATCTGATGGTCGTTCAAAGGGTCCACAGGCGTCCGGGTCAACGTTTTAGCGACTTTTGCGTTACTCAACGTCGTAAGTTTGGGGTGGAAGTGTCATGGTATGGGATGTCATCACAACTAATGGGTGAACATAACTCTTCATTGTTAATGGCAATTTGAATGACGTACGCTATCGGCGCGTAACGTTCTACCCTTTATGCAAGTGCTGGGAAGTAACGTCACGTTGCAACAGTTTAATGCCTCCAACATTTTGCACGTGTTGTAACATACTTTTTGAGGCAGCATAACATTGCTTTACTGTCATGGCCGACTGTTTGTCCAGACCACTCATCCATAGAATATGTCTAGGATCTGACGGGTAGACGTCTACGACAGGATCAAACCCAGCCGGTAACCATAGCTCAGTTGGACCATTAATGGGTTGACGTGTCGAAAAACACCCCCCAGCCAGGCTATTTTCAATCACGTAGTGTTGTAATGCACCACCGTAACCTTGCCTTTGTCAATGCGAATGGTGGTCACACCTGACACTGTTAATCGAGTTGTGACACCACTTTCTGTTAGGGCGTGTTTCTATGTCTCCTGCTACCAGTTAAGGATTTTGTCAATGAATTTGTTATGATAAAACATAACAACTTATACTACTTGAAATGAAGCACAGTTACTGTTCCCGCTGGCATATTTTCCAATAAGAGATACTAATAAGGTTGCTTGGTTTGTTGTTTAACGCCACACTCAGCAATTATCCAGCTATATGAGGCCGGTCTGTAAAATAATCGAGTCTGGACCAGACAATCCAGTGATTGGCAGCAAGAGCGTTGATCCACACAATTGGGATACCGTTAAATGTGCACACTGATTCTTCAGTGCCCTTAACTGTCTCTATTTATTGCACGGTGACTGTAATACTCTGCAATGTGTACCTTCTGGGATGAACTGACCCTTGCATTGTGTAATGACAATGCAAGGTAAAATGTTGATTAAGATTACATTTTGAAATTTGGTTTCAACTATCACGAATAATTCAGTTCCAAATGTATTTCCTGCCACGCCTTTCTTGTAAAATATTTTCGAATATATGTTATCACATTTTAGATTTTGACAAGTTTTAGAAAACATGGTATATTATGTTTCGTGTCATACTTAATTCCCTATTTCATATGTAGATCTATGCATAAAGATTCAGAGCGACAAAACCCTCTCCACAAGACTGTATGAACAGAGGGATGACTTCAACTTTCCAATAGTCAACTTTCCCTTCATGTCTAGCAATATTCCAGCAGCTCCAGCCTTTGGTGTTTACATTTCACAACTTTTGCGATACAATCGAGCATGCTCTTTCTACCAAGATTTCAAAGAGCGTCATACGACTCTTGCTAATAAGTTGTTTGATCAAGGTTACAACATTTAAGGCCTCAGTAAAGCTTTCAAAAGTTTTTATGACAGACATGTGGAGGACATTACCAAATTTGACGCATCAGTATCAAAAATGATGTCCGATGCAATTCCCTATTGTGACTTATACCATATGTTCCCGTGTTTTCTAGGTCAACTTGCCTTTGCATGTGTTTGTGACGGATGCTATCGGTGGGGCGGGTTGCGCCCGCCTTTTTCCGAGCACCTGGTATCATTACAATTTGATAGCGATTTATAAACACATGCTCAAGATATATAGTCGGAATCGTACAATCGACTCTGCTTTATGCAGATATATCTATTGGATCTGGAAAGAGTTTTGTCGCTTTATAAACACGAAACAAAACAACATGACACCGTCAACAATTGTAAAATGTTGGAAGGTAGACTTGTGGGTGAGTGAATGAATAAGTGAGTATGGTTTTACGCCGCTCTTTAGCAATATTCCAGCAATATCGTGCGGGGGAGACGGAACTGTGCTTCACAAGGTAGACTTGTATTTCGTGTTGTGGGAAATGTGATGTTTACTCACCACTTCTACTTGGTAATTCATGTCATACGTAATATAAATGTCATAGATGAATGCAGCTGTTATGTTCTTATGATGTCGGAGGATCATGTGACTATTCATCGTTAAATCCTCTTCCTCACAAAAAGAAAAAAGGAAACAAAAGTCGCAAATTATTTTTACATTTATTTTATAAATACATTTGTTCACACGAAAGGTCTGAAAACATTCCTAAAGCCGTCAACAAGAGAAGTCATTGACATATGCATGGGTGTCTTGTAGTTTACACGTAATGCATAGAACATAATCATCTCCAGGCCATAATAACAGGTAAATGTTTACAATATTGCAAAATGTACATCTATATACTTGGAAATTGCTCAACATGTTGATAATAGCTTTTATGAATAAATAGGATAATAAAACACAATTTTTAACTGTGCCTAGTATAATAATATACTCTATACATCACATTCGAATTTCTACCATTATACCTTTACAAAATATACAAACCCTGGAAGCAGTCTTCTTTCAGGAACATATGTAAGGGACAGGCACAGACATTTTATTTGGAACTTTTTCTTAAAATGAAAATCAAACCAACCGCATTATATGTAAAGAATTCTACCACCGATTATGTTTATAGAGTTGATATTGACTTAAAAGTTCAATTAATTCTTCATTATCTTCATCAAATGGGAGGCTGGACAACGAAGCATCATGTTGAAAATTCCAAAATATCAGAAAAGAGGGTGATTTGTTGCTCTTGCTCGAACTCCTCGTGATGATCCGAACCTGGATGAACACTAGCCAACGTTTTGACAGTGGTCACTTGGGTGCTGACTACAGATGGGTGACGTGTCGCACGAGTTCATCTTGTCAGTTCACAAATGGCATAGAGTGCATCAGTTTTTGATTGAAGACATAGGACAGTAGTAGAAGCCTGGTTGCTTCCCATCGTTGTCTATGGGAGAGACAGAATACAATTATTAACAGACGATCATGGAGCATATATTTGAAATTACGTTAACTCGAATTTCTCGGGACCACCCATTATATAGATGTCGACGTAACTGTGGTAGTTCGAGACGACATAGCCAGTTACATTGTTGAGTTAACACGACTAGTTTGAAGGTATATTTCTGCTGAAATACAGAATGGAATCATTAATTTAAGATATTTAATATAACTATCAATCGACGAGGTAACCCTAAATTATTATTTAAAACAAAATATGAATAGAGATACTAAAACATTTACCATATTACTGAAGTAAAAGCAACAAAACAAATTCCACAATCATACGAAATCTCTGCTAACACCTACATATGCAAATACGTAAAAGATAACACTAGATTCAATCCATGTTAAAGCTTCATGCCAGAATTCATTGGATATTTTTTTCAGAAATGATCATCGTTCTTGACATTATGGCGGAACAGATGCTTCCTGTCTAGACGCCATAATCATTCAAACTTTCCTATTAAAAATGCAAAGAAGGTTTTAAGAACAATGTCAGTCATTAGCACACTGACATTGGATGGAGTTAGTGGGCTATCCGAAATCAACCCTGCACACACTGCAAATCGCACACAATTATACGGGTTTGGGTCACATTCATCAATACACATTAATTGTATCATACTGATCATGTGACATAACCCTCATGCTGTCTCCAAGCGAATGTGCGTCTATGTTTTGTATGCATAACTGTAAACCTCAAGGTGCATAAACGTACGTGACTTTTGTGTACTTTAACTGAGTGACACAAAGAGCAATGGCACAAAACTGGTAACACTACCGATAAGAAATATGTCAAAATAGAACCTGACAATCTCATCAAAATCAGATCTTAGTTCTCGCTACCGGTCTGATTATAATGAGATTGAGAACCTGATGGCGTAACCATTCTAATGAACATGAAATGTTTTGATGCTAACCATATAAAGTAAATATACTGAAACAAAGTTTGATTTTTTTAGATATATGACTGAGCACACAATTTCATAAAAATATTCTCCAAAATACGAATGATACCTAAATTGTGTTCAGTACATACTGGGCAGACCAACACTGCATAAGGAGAATGTTATTCAATTGCCGGCTAATATGGATGTCAGTTCCTGTACACTACTATCTGCTCCACATGTTGTCAACGAGCTCACTGATATACTATCTCAGAGATGGTGTACACAGTTACATATATGCCAGAATGGGTTCAGTTTCATCCGAAATCTTTCTGCGCTAAAATAATGAAATTCATTTCAATGTTTTCCACATTACGGGAAAGATGTTTAGGCTTTGTAGTGATGAAAACAGCTTTTTATATTTCTTGACGAAACTTCCCTGACATATTGTCAACAAGCTTGTAAATTCCGTAGTATTTTATCTGTTGGGCTGACATAAGTAGGAAGTCATTGTATCCTGATTTATTTCAATATGGGTAAACAAACAAAATACATGCAATTGACATATAAGGTCTAACCATTTCAATCAAGCCGTTATTTAGGAATCATGCAACGGTTAATTCTTACGCCAAAATTCAAATGTCATGCACATTATTAATTAAAATAAATACCTGCCGATTTAACATATTGGTGACCTTTTCTTCCAAATGGACTTTCTTGTAAAGATATTTATAATAAATACCCCGTGAAATAGGTGGTTAGGCCAATGAATCTAGGACGAAGACAGACATGAGATTCTAGGTAAACCGCGCAGGTCCCTGATGCATAAGTTTGAAAGCGGTAGACGACCTACGGATCGATTGATAGTAACGTTCCTTATGGTAAGAGAGAGTATTAATGTCTGTCACGGAATACCCAGTGAGCTGCAATTACTGCAGAACAACATATAATTGATTAAAAAGCCACCCTAAAGCATCTCTGGTTAGTGTTTCTAAAGCAAAAACACGATTAATGGTTCCATTGATCCATAGGAAGGTCTCGGCTGTATCAGAACGGCAGGTAGTCATCGATCTTATTAAAGTTAAATCACTATGAAAAACATCACCCAAACTGTCATGCTGGAAACACGAAAAGTAGCCAATCATAGATTCGAAAATCTGGTCTCACTTTCAGGAGTTCATTCGAAAAAAAGCGAACACAATTTGAAAAGCAGCTTGCAGAAGTTAGTTCCATTCTGTGAACTCTGCTAGATTTGCTATACTCACTAACTGGTCAAAACATGTCAGTGTCGATATTATAGGTTATTCCGGAACTAGAGAAAAGCTTGCATGGGCAATAATCCTTCCTCTGGTATGCTCTGGGATCGGTAATCCGTAACTAGGAGCAAACACGACAGACATTGTAGACTTCCAAACACCCATGAACAGCTGTGTACGAAGCGTTTACTGTATCAATAGCCTTTGTCTTGACCATCATAGTGAGTGAGTTGGGTTTAACGCCGCTTTTAACAGTGTTCCAGTTATATCACGGCGTGTCAGCTTAATGTGGAAGAAAGCCCGAAGTAATGTTGGTCTCAGACGTTTACCACTTCGGTGAAACCCACGAGCACGGGTATGGTGCTGACAAACCTAGAAACATTATCGGGGCGAACCGGGATTTGAACCCACAATCATAGGTTTCTGGCGTGCCCAAGGGACGCAACTCTGCCCAGCGAATCGCGGCGCCTTTGACGTCTGGGCCACCCGTGCCCCCCTTGACCCCTTTGGGTCATATGGTTCGTTTTAAATGATTGAATCTCCTTTTAATTATTGGAATTTAGCACTACAGGTCGCACGGTAGTTCTGTGTTCCAAAAGTGTTAAGTGACAGATTAAAACATTCAGTTATCCAACGACTAGCTATACAGGCACATCACTATAGTATATATCTGTAGGACTCAGATCTATGGCGGGACTCTAATCCGTGGCATATCCTCGTTATGATATGACGTCTGAGTCCTACATATGTACACTCACACGTTTTGTACTGCAAAATACATACTTTAATCACAAGAAACCTACGGCAACTCAAAACTTACGTATGTTCTGCATTAATACCAAAGCGACTAGGCTGTGTATAATCATAATAGAGATATATTTAGGTTCTATCAGTAATAACTTCACACAGCCACAACACAACCAAAGAAGTTTTAGATATTATAATTACTGAAACTAACGAGGGAAGCACAAGTAGAAATAGAAAGCATGGAATGAAGCAATGTTACTATTTCCTGTTAACTTTAATGCACCTTTTTAAGTAATGATCAAATTTTACGTTTGATAAAATAATAACGAATTATTTTGAATTCAACTGCAGCGACTGAAACATTGCAATATTTACGCTACAGATGGAATTTCGAGTAAATAATTCTAGCATCTACACTACAATATCTTTACGTGGAACGTTATTAGCAGCGAAACATATCCAAACAATTCGGGTACATGTCGAGAGGTATATAATACAAAAGATTTAATTGACGTCAAACGCTCTTACCAATATCTGCAGCATCTGTATAGTTGAGGGATTCCTGGAGGATTTTGAACGATCTTGACTGAACGTTTGGGTTTTGGTATCCAGTATCGAACACTGAAGGCTCTTCGATAATCTCCGCCCTGGGCTCTTCCGTACTTTGTTGACGTTTGATGTTTTCTGTCGCGACAGACACGGCGTTTCTGAGAAGACAATTCACAGAAGACAAGTGTTAAGCAAATATGTCACACATCTAGACATCTGTTTACTGTCTACTTGCCTATCGCGCTAGTTATTTGTTAGGGTGGGCGAGTAAGGTAGATTTATTGCCGAATCGAACTCAGGATGCTGGGACGAGTAAATGACACAACGCTACACACAAAGGTTTTTGACCGTTGGATTATGTGTGAAATCTGATCTTTCACATAACAATGACTCAAGAGAAACGACGAATGTCATCTTCACATCCCTTTTAGCCGCCAGTTTTCGGAATTACAAAATAATTGTGTCATTCTAATCAAATAATCAACTTCGATCGCCGTAAGTTCTGCAATATTGACAATGATAAATCAATCATGCCATTTACAACTAATATATATTAGTTATATTTAATATATATCATAACTATTATATATCATTCATAAAGCCAGTCGTCATGGCACACCGCTGTTGAACAAGGTGCACTTCCTAATTCATATTACCGCATTTTTCAAACGTATATGCATGGACTCTAAGCCTTGTCTCACCTTCTGACAAAGAAATCAAGTTCGTTTCCTGCCCTCAAAATCTCCATCTTGGCTTGGTCATGTGTCATGCCATCTGTCGGTACCCCGGCTATGGAGAGGAGTCCATCCCCTGGTTTCAAACCACTCTTTTCAGCTATACTCTTACTGTTCACCTGCATGTATAAAAACACACTACACATGATATAACTATCCCAATTGCACAATAAAGTGTAATCACGCAAGTATTGAATGGCCTTATGGACATTATAATTAAAGTGACAAAACCCGTTGTTGAAATATTCCCATTAAGTAAATTATTCACAATTACCATATTCACGACATATTTCATGTCCAGCAATGGCTAATTATATGTAATTGCAAGTTGTAATAGTCAATTCCATCCTCCCGTTGTAATAAAATAGATATGTTGATGTTATTTACACTATGTTCTACATATAATTATAAATAATATGGACCGCCTCTGTGGTCTAGTGGTAGAGCGTCCGCCCGGAGAGCGGAAGGTCCGGGGTTCGATCCCAAAAGACGTTAAAATATGGTCCTTGTTGTTACCCTGTCTGGCGCTCGGCATTAAGGGGCTAAAACAAGGACTGGTCGGCTCGGAGTCAGTATACTGTGTCTGAGTGGGGTATTCATGTTAAACTGCGGCATGGTATCTCAGTGAGCTAGCGCTTTAAATCGGCATCAGTCCGGACTAGTACAAGCAGCCACACAAACACACACACGTTTCACTTCACCTCACATATATAATATGAAACTTCATTCATGATACAATAGAGCCCGTGGGCTGTAAATAACAACACAATAACCTAAATACGTCAGACTCTACTGTTACAGTTAATATATCTCACGGTGATATGTTTCAGCCATTATGATGTAGGGCGACAGCTTAATAAGTTTAGAGTAGAATTATGATTGCACAAACGTCAACAGTAACGTGACAGCATATATTACAAACATCTAATTACATAAGACACGGTATATACACGTTCCTCCCATCTACATGCACCAGCTTCGTTCTAAAACACCATACAACCAACCGTGCAAGCCGGACAAAACAAAACGCAGACGTGTATATGATATAAAAAAATATAAGACACGTGGTACTCTTTCTACGACGGATTGTGTATTCTGTAAGTTCACGGATAACGCACGGCATGTTCTGATACTATTTTTTATGTGACAAAGCCTTATCATAAGAAATACCAGCTAAAAGCAGAGCCCCTTATACAATTCCGATTATACCATAATCATGAGCGTGAAAATTTTACCATTTAATAATACTGCCATTTTTTGCTAATGAATCTTCAGAGCACTTTCTGAATACCTTTGGCCTACAAACCATTAGATATTTTAGAATAATTACGAACATATTACTTGATCGGACACATGCCATCACATACACATAAACATATAAAGTTGAAAAGCTCTTATCCGTTTGACAACCGTGATCATTAGGTACCTCGCGAGACTTGACTAAGTTGATATATTGCAGCATTATGATGTAGACTCTTTGTCAGAAATATTTTTGACGGAAACGGCCACGTAATAGACGCTCACATTCTCTAGACATTACCGCAGTAAGCATAACCTTGACACCAGGGCAGTGACAGAGTACATGGCATGTAGTCCTGTTTACTGGGTTGTTTTATTACCGACGATGCAATTTATGAGATTCGAGTACGTACATACACAGGGGAGCGGACCTTTTGCTACTTGTATGTTTGTGTGTTATACGCCCTCCCCCCTGTGTTAATATTTACTATTTGTGTTTTGTCTACATTTTTCAGTTAACATTTTCATGTGAAATCATGCAGATTACTTCAAATTTACACCTTTGAACCTTAATCTAGTGAATATATGTACGTCACGAGTAATAACTTTCACTAACTGGGTCAGTGGTCATGACCCATATACAGCATGCATGTGCACCTATTTACGACGAACATTCACGCATACAAATAAGCGGAAACGTGGATTGTTCCCAGTCTAGAGCCCGGTAAAGCAATAAAATATCAAAGTTTATAAGCCGGAACTGCCCACTTCCTCATTAACGATAAATATGACTGAGTGCAATTTGAAGGTTTGAATTACTTGGTCTATACATGTGGCGCTCATTGACGTGAACGAGGGCTCAACAGTCGGTTCATTCACTCCTTCTCTCATGTGGCGGTCGTGTAGATCGTGGTTAGAGCGGTCACTGGTCACGCCAAATCTGTTGCCCACCTTTGTGATATTGCTGGAAGGCGTAAAACCAAACTCACTCACTCTATCTATGCCAAAAGCAGACCAGGTGTTGTCATTGGCTAAAATGAACACGGACGGTCTAAATCTGTGATGGTCATACGAGTTAACAAAATAACATTATGCTTTTAAGGTATGTGATGTCCAACACAAACTTTAAACAAAGAGCTGACGCGGAACATGTTTTCCTACCGCACGCTAGTGCATTGTTGTTCGTCTGCAATGTTCCGATAAAAAGGTCTTGTGACTTCCACGCTTCAGAAAACAATCGATAGTAAATACTGAAACTAGCATTCTTATCTACTCAGACACCGAGACTGAGTGTGATATATGACTTCGTGATATTATGTCTGTTTGTAAGCCTGTTGTTGTGCGAGGTGGAGATGTCATAAATTACTCTTCCAAATGGGCCACGAAGATGGTGGAAACAAGTACTTGGACTGGAAAACTAAATACTGTATAGCATAATCTTTATTGGTGTGTACATGTATACAGATTAAACCTCGGACACTCAGGGAGGAATTTGTTTGACATCTGATCACCACACCCTGGCCCACCCCTCACACACACAGACAGACAGACAGACAGACACACACACACGTACACACACGCACGCACGCTCACACACACACACACACACGTACAGACACGCACGCACGCTCACACGCACTTAGAAACATGTAGCATTACTACATCTAGCAGTAATTATAAATCTGCTTTTGTTTACTTTGTCCCTTTTTATTGACATACGCATATATACAAGATCCACGTTCCATTACAAATGCTCTTGATATCTTCACAAACGCCAAGCACGTCATCTGTTTTGTAGTATAGAAATTAACAACACATAAAATACAATATCACTTGAAAGCATAGTGTTGTAGTAATCTTGTATTACATAAGAAATAGTCGTAGTATCAGGTAATTTTACATGGGGATACGAAAATAAGAAATATATTACGTTGTTAGCAGGTCCATCCATATTTATGTTCTTGTGTAACTTTGACAAAGAGCAAACCGTCGTTCCGTGCCAAGAACATGTCAGTATCTACATTATTGCGCGCAACGAAAGGTTTACACATACATATGACAGCAGTTACTGTGTTTTGTTAGGGTCTGGGAGAAGGACGCCACGTGTAAACACTTAGAACGTTGTAGAAAGCAATGCAGTTGCCTGCTGCCACCCGGAACTCATGCCAGATTGATAATTGTATAGTGCACTGCACTCAAATAAACACTCACTTGTATTTCTCTTTCTTTCTGTGAACGTCAACATGTGGCTTAAGTTAACTATGTACAAAGGGGACGCAGAACACAATGCATGTCACAAATGTGCTCGATTATTCGCATTTTTAAAATTCCGTACACTGAACATGATAATGGAAACCATTGCGACTTTTCTTCTCTTCACTTTTCGGGTACTATGATATGATATTATCGAAGCGTCAGACCAGCAGTATCACAGCCGATTACAGTTGATACTGAAACCAAAATAACCCATAATTGTGCGATCGGAGATTATTCTATAAGAACTGTAATAAATCAAGTCGTCATACTATTATCTTCATTGTTGATATAAAGCGCCCAATGTTTATCAGCAGAAGCACTCCGTGATACGACAGCATGGAAGTAAGACAGTTTATAATGTACTTTAATGTTAGATTTTCGAGTCCGCTATCAAGACGATAACGAATGTACGTTTTTGTATGAATATAGAAACAATGGCAATATTAATTTATAAACAACTACCTTCCACTGACTTAAAAAGGGTTCAATACGTTATTGTTTACGCATAAGGTTCCAAGAGGTGTCACACTTATATAATGTCCTTCTAGTTCTTCTACAGGAGCAATTTGCACATCTCCAACAAAGAGTTTCCAAACGAAAGAAGCATAACTATTAACTACCCCATACTGTGTAAGTGGTTAAAAGCTGTTCCCGCTAACTTTAAGAGATCTCTCGTTCAGGATGTATGCTTCAGCTCATCATGAATATCTGCTCCGATGAACGAAATGATATGATTCACACACACACGGACACACACACGGACACACACACACACACACACACACACACACACACACACACAAACACACACGCGCCCGCACGCACGCACGCACTCACTAACACAGAGGCACACATGGTTACCCCTAGTATGGTTGTGAATATATGTTGGCATCACAGTAAAGAAGCAGTCTTATATCTTCGTATCTACAGTACTCCTTTACCATCTGTTAAGAACTTATGATCATGCCTAGTTACCACAGCCTGTTGATCGACTGACAAGCAGCCACCTTTAATCCTTATCTACCTACTTACAACTGACCTCACCTTGGCTTCAAAAGTTCTCTTATGATTATATCGGTCGCAGAAGACGTATGGTGGTGTGTTGTTGCTTCAAATGTGGGCGGTACTGGGATGTTTGCCATGAAATGATATCACGCATTAATCGATAGAGGTAAAATGTATCAATGTCATAATTGTCATGTTGTATTCCACGAACGACGCCAGTGGTTCTTTCCGCAAAACAATCGCGACGCTGGGGTGATCGTAACTCCCATACTCTAACTAAGACTTACGAATGTTGTAGCGCTACGATCGCTTTGGGGAACTGAGCCCAGCAAAGAAAAATGAAATGCGCATACAGTTACGTAAACTATGTTAATTTCGTATGCAGGTTTTAGTAAACAAACAACGGTTTTCAAGATACACTGCCATTGAAACCTGTACTTGTGAATCACCGCACCAATGTAAGCATAATTCAGCAGATATCTTTACACTGATGACACGTAACCCAAGTAGCATAGTTCTTCATATTTGAGTGATATGTACATGTACTTATGTCAAGGCAGTTTGGTGAGGAGGCATATGATTGAGCGATAATGCACTTATATATAAAACATCACTGTAG